AAGTCATTTTGTTTATTTCCTTAAAAAGAATTTTATTTTTCCCAAAATTTTCTTAAATTTTTTTTTTTTTTTTTTTTTTTTATTCCCTTTTTTTTTTTTTTATGATTCATCTAATTATTTTCACGATCACAATAAAAATGATATTTTATGATGTATAGTGTTAATGGTTATGGGATAATTATAGAATTATGCAAAATAATAAGTTAAAACTTTTAGACCAAGAACAAATATCTAAAGAAAAGAATTGTAAGTTTTTATCAATACTGGAAATTACTTATCTAATCGCAAACAAAATCCAGAGGACATAAGATTCAGATGTGATGATTGGCTACTTCTGAGAGTGTATTGTTAAAAATCAATTACATACATATAATCCTTTAGAAATGACGAACAGCTGTCATGATATCCGAGGTCTGCTCGTGAAGCTTAAATTCATTCACAGATAATAAATATGATTAGTAATATTACAGTATTATACGAAAGTTTATCTTTTTGAATATCGTATTTTCTAAAGAGAAATTTCTTGTTTCACATAATCCTTATTAGCCTTGTCGAATGATGAAATCTGCTAATTTAACGCAAAAAGTAAAAAGAAAAGAAAATCATGTTTTAAGTGCTTATCATTTATTAATACAATATTAAATATAACAAAATTCGCCATTTTTTTTTATTACAAAAGCTCTAAGGAAATATTTAAATATAAGATCCAACTAATTAAATAATATACAGACAGATATACAGACAGATATACGAGTAAATAAAATAAATTTAATAAATTCATAAAACCACATTGTGTATAAAGATGAAAAATTACTTTATTTAATAAATAACAAAGATTTTTAAACTGAATATTGAATTCAATTATGTCTTGTAAAAAAGTCGAACTTTGAATGTAAATATATTTTAAATATTTGAATTTGAATACTGTATAAATATCGTACGTCGGAACAAAATTATTGTAAATTTAGAATCCACTTAGGTTAGAACGGAATCCCAAACGTAGTCCAAGTTGATATGAAACTTAAGTCGATTCTTACTTGGCACTATATAATCGACAAATTTAATAGCAACTTAAGTTGATTTTAAATTCAATATCGATATTGTAATAAATCATGATATATTGTCAAGATAAAATACAAATCTTTTATTTCTTTTTTTTAAATTTAGTTAATTTGCAATGCATTGTGTTATGGATAAATCCTATCTTAAAGTAACTTAAATTCCAAAACAACGTACTCGATGAAATAATTTGGAATACACATAATTTTGTTGTAAGTTGAATTGGAATTTTTTAACGACTTGGGCACATTTTGGAATTCTTACAATCTATGTTTATTCGAAATCAACTAGGTGGATTCTAAATCTACAATAATTCCATTCCGACATACAACATAAACACATTTAAAATATTTCAATTTAGATGTAATCAGATTTAATTCTTTGAATAATTCGAATAAAATAAAAAAAACAAGAATCTTGGGCTATCAATAGAAAATGAGGTAGATTGACATCTAAAAAAAATCAATACCTTAATTTTCACAGTTCATATCTCTGAATCTTGAAGCTATCTTTGATGATTTAATAGTCGAATGAAATTTCAAGATCTGGGCTTTCTTTTAAATACTAATTTATCAAAATAGCTTCAAAATTCATCGAAGATATGAGCTATGAAAATTAAATTATTTCTATTTCTATTGACGGCAGATACTGTAATCCGACCAATCATAATGAGTGTTTCAATTTCGTACGTATGATTTACCCCTGGAGAGAAAGCTTATCTGTTATTAGTGTTATACGGTAAGTAATGAGCCTTGCTTATTTATTAACATTCCTTGGATAAATGAAAGTCGAATTTAAAAATTTTATTTTTTAACTTTATTATTTTTGCTTTTACAGAATTGTCTCGCATACACGAAACCAAGTCCTTTTATTTTCAAGTACGGCAGCAGCAGCCACATTAACAAGCCTCGGAGGGTCATTTCCTAGAAAAGATCCTAAATGATGAAGAATGTGAAGCAATTTTATCAATGTTGGCGTTGATTCATGCTGAATGTTAGATTTAAGCATCGATCGTTGTTTTTGATTAATAAGATCTTTTATAACATTTTGCTAAAAATTCATTAAAATTTTTAGCATTACGAAATAGTATTATAAGAGAGAATTTTTTATCTCCTATTAATTGTGAATTAGTAGGATATACGTCCAAAGGCAAAAAATTGTTGGTCTTTGATTTCGAAGTACCAAACTCTCAGGTTGCTATTATTTGTCATTAGAGGTTCCTAACAGTAACTCTTTAGAGCCTAAGCATAAAACTAAAAAAAAAAAAATGAAAATAATCGTCTTTTGCACTTTTAGAATAGATTCTTATTACAGAGAAAATCGTTCATAATTACGGTAGAATTTAGAGTTTAGAACCGGTTTTAATCGGTTTTAATATATGAAAAATAAAATCGGTTCCAAACTTTAAGTAGAATCTTACGTTGAAAAAAACAAGTAATACCAGGCCAATCGCAATATTTTTTTATTCAAATATATAATACAAAAAAATTATTAGACATACACATTTCGTAATTAAGTTTACAACGATTAAATATGATTTATTGGAACATGAATATAAACCATTTTTTCGAAAAGAGACTGCATTGAAAACTTCTAATAAGTTTATTTTCATTTTAATCAGCGTCTTGGAGAAGAGGGAAAAAAAAGAATCTATAGAATTAGCTAAAAGAACTATATCAGAATATAAATTCATTCTTTTGCCTCCTCCTCAATCTATTGGCATACAGTACATACTAGAGAAGAATTTTATCCAAGTGAACAATAGATATTGTCTGAACTTAGTTTGATTGATTTACGAAAGAAAATTGGTTATCATGAAGTTATTACCGAGTTTAATGACTTAGTATTAAAAAAAGCATTTTTTTGCCCCACTAATTTATTTTGCACTTTTAATACTGCTCTTTTAAGTACTTTTAAGAACATTGATTTAGAACACTATAAACTGATATGAAATGAGCTATTCTCATTATTAGTTTAGTCTAATATTATAATTTTTACGGTAAATTGAATAATTTTTATTAGATACATATATACACTTCTTTTTTCTAAAAAGATAAAATAAAATAAATTAATAATTATAATACCAATATATTGTTTAACTACTCTGTCAAACAAAACTAATTCGAATTCAAAAAATGTAAATAAGTAAACATTCAATTTCTTGCAATCATTTAGGCTATACAACCTTGTATATTTGGTTCTCCTTGCTAGTCTCCAGAACTATTAACTCAGCAGTAAAGACCCCTTAAATAATAATTACGCAGATAGTCAACTGATTAGTCTGAAGTACTCTAAAAATTAAGAATCTCATAGAACGTCCAACTGATTACTTTTTTTAAATAGAATCAGAATTCATTTAATTTAATTTTATTCAGTGTTGGCCGATGACCACGTAAGTCATACAATTTCTTTGGTCATATAATCATATGACTTTTGGCAATAGGTCATATTGGTCATAAAAAATTTTTTTACTATGATTTTTACTATTAAAAGATCATAAAGTTATACCAACCTTTGTTATGACAAAATGACCTATAGTAGGTCTTAAGACATATAGGTCATCGGCCAACACTGATTTTATTCTCGAAAATTTAACACATAAATGATAATTTAATACGAGTATAAAGGATTTAAGTATTTAAAATAAGAAATTCAAGTCAATGAATATTTACTATTTAATTTCATTTTATCAGCAATGATTAAGTAATTCAAGTTTATGAATATTTACTATTTGATTTATTTATTAAACTAAGC